CATGTTCCTGCCTTTGGTGAGCTCATCGTGGCAGTGGCTGCCTTGCCTCTGCTCTTGGCGTCCCCTTTTTGTGGTGGAGGGGATTTTGTCTTGGATTTGGAACCCTTTCCTTTGGACTTTGGTGGATAGGGTCTCTGGGGGCCGGTGCCGTGGGCTGCATTGGTGTCCGTGAGGGCGACGACCGGGTAGAAGCCACGATTGGTTTTCAACTCTGTAAAACGCCGTCTGGCGTCCAGGTAGGTGGCGTAGCACTCTTCCCACTCCGGGTCGTCCATGTCAGGAAGGTCATCCTCCTGGTTGGTGAAGGCTTGTTCATCATCATTGCCCTCTTCCTCATAGTAGGCACCCTCATATTCTTCATCATCATCTTGCAGCTCGAGTTCATAGTCAGCTGCATCCTATAGCTCTTCAAGGGTGTCGTCATAGTTCTCCTGGTAGTCATAGGCAGTGTATGCCGTTTGAGGTTTCTTCCAGCGGTTATTGCCCTTACCATGGCCAGTTGGTCGTTGAAGGTGAGCGTAGCCAACACGTCCGCGGTAGTCTTGGCCGTACAGGTAGTACATGGCCTGCTCAACTTTGTCTTCCTCCAAGGTGGGGCCACATTGTGACTGCACGAGCTGCTTTTGTTCCTGCGACAGGCCACTGCGTCGAAGAAGGAGCCAGCCGGCAACCTCTTTCGGCAAGCGAATGCCGTGTTTCTCCACTTCTCGCAAACACACACGGTGTTCCGTGCAGTATGACATCAAAATTTGTTCTCCTCGTCGGCTCAGGGAGTAGAAGAACTTCTCGAAGACCCTTGGCTGCTCTACACGTTCATCGTACTTGAACGTGCGATCGAGCGTCTCAATGATGCGCTCGAAACCTTTGTCCTTGTCGTCGGAGACGGACTCTGCGATCGGCTCGATCTGCTTCCAAGCAACTCCGGTGAGGTTGGTGATGATGTTGATGATCCCTTCAAGCGGCTTCTTCTGAATCACCATCTTCTTTTGATACAGGTGGATCCGAGCTCGTCATTCACGGTATTCAGCAGGTCGGTTGCTGAACTGCGGAACCCAATTGTCTTTGGAAGACTCTGTAACGCTCGTCGATGATGTAGCCATCGATCTGGCAATCGAGCAAGGCGATCTCGAAGTGGCGCAGGTAGCGTATGGAGCTCGAGCCCGTAGGCTCCGCTACCAATTTGATGGTAGCAACCACAATGAAGCACCAAACGAACTGCACTCCACTCCCAAAACAATCTCTCTCAAGCGGTCGCGGACTTGCGAGGAACGTAGCCACAGGTCATGGCGTCACGTGACATGAGCCCAGCCCTTTGCTGGAGAAGGTTCGTGCCAAGACGGCACGGTGCTGAAAGGAAAGTGCTCTTTCCGAACCTGGCGTGCTCGAAGGAAGTCGTCGAACCGAGGTCGAACATCATGTATGGGCCACACATTCACAATTATAAGTAAAAAAGAATAATTAATGTAATTATCAAAATATATCGAATATATAATCGTATATTATATAAATAAAAAGAATATATTGTTTAAAAAATATAATGCCAAAATTATTAAATAAATTTCCCCAAATCCTCTATTTATATATAATATTCTAAAATATTTAAATTTAAATCCAAATTCCCATAATATCTATATATTATATTAAAAAAATAGAAAAATATATATATCTATATATAATACAATAATATATTCGTCTGGGCAGCACCTATGGGGTTGGGACCCTGGCTGATTGGGGTGCCCAACCTCATCCTAGCCACCAAACTTGAGATAAAATCTAGGAATTCAACATAGAGCTTGATTTGATCCGTTTTAGCCAAACCATAGATAAAATGCCATTACCCCAACCAACCATATATACACTTTGATATGCTGGGATCTTGAGCTCCCAAGGGAAATAATGGACCTGACAAACCACCCCTGGACACACCAATCAACGTCGGCCCACCTCATTTTATCCTCTTTGGCGCTCCAAGTTTTTGTGTATTGGCTGCAATGTCAGCAGTGTAGGATACTAGCAAATACTAGCAAGCACATACTAGCAAGCACATTGTGGGGGTGCTGGCCTAAGCCCTAAGGCCACAGTGTCTTTTTTTCAAGGCTTAGGCTAGAAAGCACATTGTGGTGCTGCAGGTAAGGTTTGAAGCTTGGTGTTACTTTGAAAGTTGCCCCCTACCAATTCAGCTGAACAATTTGTAAAAGTTTCAGGAGGAAGCAACATCAAATCCTCCCACATTGCTGGGTGATGACAGCTGAATAAATTGCTGGCATGCTGACCTTTTCTGCTGTTTTCATGTGTGGATGTTGGCCCCATGCCTTTTTAGCCACTGCTTGCCTTTGCTTTTTAGTGTTTCCCCAGGAGGCCTAGATGGGGTGCACCTACACCTTTCCTGTCCATCAGCAAAACACAAACACTAACTATGGTTCTCCCAAAGAGCATCCAAAACCACACCAAGAAGCAAAACTAAATATTGCTAATCCAAGCATATTCGTCTTAAGCCCCGATGTTATTTTGAAAGTTGCCCCCTACCAATTCAGCTGAACAATTTGTAAAGGCTTCAGGAGGAAGCAACATCAAATCCTCCCACATTGCTAGGTGATAACAGCTGAATAAATTGCTGGCATACTAACATTTTCTGCTGTTTTCATGTATGGATGTTCGCCCCATGCCTTTTTAGCAATTATTTGCATCGGCTTTTCAGTGCTCCCCCCGGAATCCTAAGGCATAAATCCTAATATATAATATTTTTGATAAAATAATGATGGAGGATTAATCTTGCTGTCCCACGCGAATATTATTTCAAATAATAGCTATTTCCTGTATGGCTTGAATTTTTAAACCTCATTATTATTAACTAATCTATGCCTTAAAAAAATATCACTATAACTTAAATAAAGGGTCCAATATCTGTTAATTATTCTAATCTATCCGGGTCTAGCTCCATAATCCATAAAATTTACCAGCCTCAAATGGAATTAAATCCCTAATTGCAATGCATTTAATTCAAGAGATCATGCCATACCATCCTAACCAAGGTAATCGGACGATTATCAATAATAATCTTTATAAAATAAAATCCTAAAATCTAAAATCTCAATCGCGAATTTCGACGGCCAATCTTACCCGTAATCGCGAATTTCAATCAATAATGTTTCCGTCGAACCTCAAAAAAAAATTCAATATATAATAATAATTATAAAAATATATATATAAATCCAATATACAACCCTAAGACCCAACAAAAAAATCGTTCACGACCATAACAACATACTCCTCACCATAACATAAAAATAAATAATATAAATATCATAATGGGGATCTCTCGAAAATAGAAAATATACAATATAAATATATACATTATTATATTATATGATATGACATTATATTATATATTATATATAAATCATATTATGTAATTATATTTCTATATATTTATATTGTTTAAATCTTTGTAGAGATGTCTATCACAAGTCTTTCAATTCAGCATCTGTTTGAAAGATAATGATTGATTTACAAAAAAAAGTATTGGCCATGTTGGCGATGTGATTCATCGATGCTGACAATCTACTGTACACGTCCGGACTTTCCACAGGCTTACCTTGATTGGGAAGTCCATTCGGATCTCAACAACTTTCAATTGGACCCTGATGACAGACCCCAACATCTCTCACGTTCGGCAGTCATAGTTTGAAGCAGTTGGCACATGCCCAATTCAAGCAAACAAAGGATGGACCAGGGTGGACCAACACAGATGCCGTCATCCAAAGTAGCTTCAAAGCCAACATGCCTTCAACATTATGTCAAATCAAAATGCATGAGCAACATCAAAGTTAGAAGCATCGACGCGCTGCAATGAATGCAAGATTCTTGGTTGATCTTGGAGGTGATCGGAAAAATAAAGGTCGAGACCAAATCCACAGGTTTTTTTCGCTGTTTCTTCCAAATTCTTTGTCTCTTCTAAGCAGCGGCAAAAACAGTCCGTGCCAAAACTTTGAGCCAACTTTTTCCTGTTGGGATCCATGACCAAACGAGCCAATTGAAGAGCTGGGCGACACTGGCCTTCCAGTCGCCGTCCAGTGAGCGATGGCGCTGTCTTTGAGACGAGCGCAGATTCGCCGGTAAACGACAGGTCTGGGCCTGCTACGTGGGACGCAGGAGCCGTGGGGGGGCAAAGAGTCGGCCCGAATGCTTGGGAGGTGTCCGCATCCTGGGTTCGACTAATACTGAGCCCTGAAAAATTTCAGCCTAAGTATATAGGGGCAGTACCCTCATATGGAGGGGTCCGGACCCTCAAATCATCTCAAATCCCTACGCCTTCCTGATGTACGGAGGGCCACAGCGTGTCAGACCCCACCTGCGGGGGGAGCGGTCGAGTCAAGTCTATACGGTGGACGCGGGGCGGGAACCCCCCGTGCGTTGAGGTAATGCCAGGAGAGACGTGAGGATCGGGGTGCTGGTGCCGAATTATCCATCACTTGATGGGACTAGAAACCACCCAACTCCATGTGATTCCTGGTGTAGAACATGTCTTGTCGCAGCTTTCTGCCTCAACCCAACACCTTGCCAGCTGTTGTGATGCCACTTGGAGGCACTTGGAGTGCTTTTCACGGCAATAAGGATGAATAAACATAGAATATCATGTGTCCTCGTCTTGCGACTGACTCCCCACGGCTCATGCATCAACCTCTTATCACATGGCCTGCCTTGAGACTACATGATGCAAAACGACGCAAAATATCAACATGGCAGTGAAAAAAGTTCTACGTATGCAGTGGCAAGAGCAAACATAGTGACGGACTTCTTCGCACCATCGAAAGTGAGTACTTTACCACTGGAGTACTTGCCACTGGAGTAGTATCAAATTCCCAAGCTCTGTGAGGTCGAACAAAAGGGCTCCTTCTTCCAACAGTAACAGCCAACCACTTCGATTTCAGTTTCAATTTGTCAATCATGCTCTCTCCCATTGTTGGATTGAATCCAACAAACTGTTCCAAACAATATTAGCCAACTTGATTTGTCAACCACGGGTGCCGGGTCTTTGACCAACTTCTTCGCGTGCACATAATTCCTTCTAGCCCATTCTCAGGTTCACGATCTCCAAGGCCAGTCCTTGGAAGTCTCTGAGTACCTCGCCACGAACAAGGAGAGGGTCGGAAGGTGGACATTGATGTGAAAGAACCCGTGGGAGGCGGTGGTGGATGCAAGGCCAGTGCATTTAACTTGGGAGACAAGTGACTTAGGGACTTAGGGTCAGCTGTTCCTGAAATCATGGTCCATCCAATCTGTAGACACGGAAACCAGGGCCATCTTATCGACTCTGTTTCAAGGCTTTTGCCCATCGGCATGTTCTAGAGATCTCTCTCCCCAACACCATGAAGCAAGCCCCCCCCCAACAAAAACCATCAGCGATGCAACGGATTCATAATCCGATGTTCTCCCTGGTTCGGACACCCGTTCCGTCCAAGCCCAACCAGTCCTCTAATCCGTTCCGCTTGCAGCTCCGCTTTCCGCTGTTTCGCTGTGGCGCCAAGAACGGCCCCGACGTGTTGGTGTCGCCTCGAGCAAGGCCTTGGAGAAGCTGGTCGAGCGATATTGGATCCCATGGCGCTGGCAGATCTCCTGGACCAACGGCTTCACCTGGGAGCGAGGTGGCGCGGAAGAACCACCCCGAGCGTGTGCGGGCGACAGCGAGTGCGGCATGAAGCGCTGGCGCGAGAGTGTGCGGGCGCATGTGCGGCCCATTTTTTGGGGGTTGGGCCGAAGAGGAATTTGGGTGCCGTGCGTGACTATGCGACCAAAAGTGCATGAGGGCTTGACTTGAATGAATGGATGTGAATGGGTCCAGCATCATACCTTCCTATGTCGGGACCCAGCTCTTTTGCCTGTTGGATGAGAAGATGTTGGCAGGTTGAAGGAATCTTGTAGCGAATGCTGCAAAATCCCATGCCTTTGTTGAACGAAGACTCCCTACCGCTGGCTGCAAACTGGACGACACTGGGCTTCGCCCTACCAGTACCAGCAAGTGAATCAACACACACTTTACAATATAAATCTACTCACCATGTTCTTACCTACTACCTGCATCTACCTGCCTTGACCACACCTCTGACTCTCTGACAGTCAGTCGAAGGGTGCATTTTCAGGTCTCCAGCCCAGTGAATGATGCTGGTGAGTAGGGGGGTGAACCATTGGATTCTGGATTTTGTCGGTTTCATGGCACTTGCCATGATTAATCCAATGTCTGCACCGCGGGGCCCCTCTCGTTGCCAGGCGAACACCACATCGTCACACATATCGTTGCCGGCGAACCACCTGTTGCTGTGCAACCGCCGCTGAGTTTGCCAAATGGAACAACACCCTTACCTTCACTGCAACGATCAAGACCGTACCCTGACCACACCTGGACCGCCCGCGCAGGACTCGTTTTCTTCTGCGCCCGGGACTCCGACCCCCGGGCGCAACGACCCCCGGGCACGACCCGCCTTCTGGAGGTTGTGCCGCGGAAGCTGCGGAAACAGATGGTGTTCGATCTGAAACCTCGGTTTCGGCGAAGAGTTTGAAGAGTTTGGTTCGCGTCATGGGTGCGGCGGCTAGCGTTTGGGCTTGACTCTCTTGCTATCTCTTGCTTGTGGTTGCAGACATGGAGACATGTGGACGGGGAAATGGTACCCGTTTTTTTGGATGACCTCCTCATACCCAAACTGGTGGTTTTCACTCCGCTTCCGGAGCGTTGGGCCCCCAAAAGGATGACCATGAAATCGATCAACCAGCCATCGATCAGCCAGCCTCGGTACCAGCCTTAGCCGCCTTAGCCAGCTATACGCCCTTGAAACAGCCAAAGAACCCGATCCAGATCGATGCCTTTTGTGGCATCACCCCGATCTAAATCCTGCTTTCAAAAATCAACCACCGATCCAGGTCATAGTTCGTGGCCACAAAGGACCACGTGGTCCTTCAACCTGAGGCATGCACTAGAAGTACGCACCAAGTTAGTCACCGTGCTCAGTGGTGATCCGTTTGGACCCCATTGAAACCGGCTTCGCTTTGCTCTCTGGGCCCTCCGACTCCAAACCACCGTGGAACCAGTGGTCGTACCTCGCGCGCTCTACAGCGGCATCCGAAGGTCCTGGTTCTCCCCACCGGTGGGATTCATCAAGTACACCAGGCTGAGCCACGAATGTTTTGCCTAGAAGCTAAGATAACAAGGCTTATGCTAATCCTTTGCGTCATAACAAGGATTGCCAGGATTGCCTTATATAACCAGGCTGTGTCTCCAGGATGCCTAGAATCTTATGCTAATCCTTTGCCACCATGTTCTTTTTTTGGAAGGCATCCTGGAGGCACACCCAGCAGAAATCTGCAGAAATTCACACACCTCTGGGGCGTCGTGGTGCCATCGAATGGTAAGTCAAGATTGAACTTAATACTATACACTCCCTGGAACTAACATGGAAGTGGAGAATGGCCCCTTGGGAAGACCATTTTCCACTACAAACAGGTGGTTTTCCACTTCCATGTTAGTTCCAGGGAGAGTAAATCCCACTACTAATTCCACCCTGTTGAACCGTGGTGAATAAAGACTAGACCGATTGAAAACTGAACACTGTCATCCCAGGCACCACCGTCTATACCGTGGCAAACACGAAACTCTCCTTGTCCAACTTGACTAAATAGATCGGAATAGCGAGATTTGTCTACCAGTTTACCAGTACCTTCGGTCTTTTATCCCATGTTCTCAATTTCTTCTCCTGGCACTTGAAAGAGTTCATTGCGAGAAACTGTTGGCGGCAAACATTCATCGATGAAACGACCAAGGATTTTGCTGTGAGACTTCCCAACCGACGAAGCCGACAACGCGTTCGCAACGTCTCCAACTTCCAAGGACGTCGCAACGTGTCAAATTGTGATGCAAAGTCTGAGACTCAGCTGAAAAGTACACGTCAGATCACGTGTCTTTTTTCACCAGCCAATGCGCTCAACACATCTTAAAACACCATGTGACCCTACAACCAATGCGCGTTCTGCGTGTTCTAACTGACTGTCTCTACGCGTTCACTGCAGCCAGGCGGCCAGTCGCAATCAATGTTACGAGACGTTTTGAGCTGAAATGTGAAAATTGCTCTTCTCGTTCCTGCCCGCAGCGATCTGCGATCTGCGCATCGCTGGCCGCAAAAATGACCGTCGGTCGAACGAAAAGAATACGTAGACCTGATATCAGCCCGCCGTTCTTGTATAGCTTAGCTGTCTGTTGACATGAATTGACTATATATAACATTAAACGCATTGAACAGCGGTGACCCAATGTTTGGAGAAAAACACAACGTATACCAAACATGTGCAAAGCACGCAAATCACACGTGAGGCCACTATAGAATCTACTCATCTTCGTCTGGGCCAACTATCAATATCCGATAAGCGCTCCCTCTTTGCTCCACCCTTCTAGGCGACCTTTAAACCTTAAATAACCTGATGCTTGGACTCTAGGCTTAGAAGGGTCAAGCCTACGTAGAATGACATTGGATTCAAGGCTTGGATTCGAGGTTGAACCTCATTCTAGGCTTAACCTGAAAGAAGGGCACGAGGTTCAACCGTTTAACTTTATGTAACCTTCACCACTCCTGCACCGCCGCGATTGGCGGAAGATGCGCCGCGATGAGTTCATCGCGTCGTCGGAGCGCCATACGCCGTACGGTGTGTGCCTCCTCTGCTGTGAAGGTCTCTGTGGCAAGGTGGCTCAGGACCAGTTGGATGTGCAGGATGCCAACCTGAACTGCCAAGCTCTTGAGCTATCTTGAGCTGCGAAAATCGCAGCTGCGCTCATATAGGCAGCTGGAGTGCCCAGGTTTGTGGGGTTTCTGGCAGGGCACATGTGTCACATTGTTTCACCATGTTTCACCATTTAGAAGAGGCCACCTGTACCAGACCAGGGATGCACTTTTTGTCAAGGACGAGTCATGGTGAGTCAAGGTGGAAATCAAAGTTAAGGTGTTGTTTCAATTTCTCCCCCCACGCAGCACGTTCTCGAGAACCCTTCGGACATCTGCTGCAGGATCTCTATGTCCATGTCGACTGCTTCGAGTTCTTTCCACATGAATCGCAACTTGCTCTACTCCATGTGTGTGTATTCAGCTGCCTCAGTTCAGTCAGTTCAGGTCAGATCAACTCAATTCAGCTCAAATCAGTCAGCCAGTTCAGGTCAGCTCAGATCAATTCAATTCAGCTCGGTTGAGGTCAGTTCCAGTCAGTTCAGATCAGTTCAGTTAGCTAGTTTAGTTACTGTAAGTCTAGCTTCAGGTCCGCTCAGTTCAATCAAACACTCACAAACCACCGTGTCGGCCCCAAACACCTCGGGCCCCCAACGGTCCCACGGTCGACGAACGACGCAGCTGCTGTCGAGTTGCCGTCCAGTTGGAGACCAACACGAAGGCCACGCGCTCCCAGGACGCATCCAGCTGCTTCACGAGCGTCGCCTCGGGAGAAGCAGGAGGAGGAGTGGTGTTGGACCAGGGGAGGACCGGGGTGAAGCACTCAGATCGTGAAGGGTGGTGAAGGGTGCTCCGAGGTTTTTCTCCTCCGGTCCTTCTCAGGTGCTCCGGTCCTTCGAGGTCTCAGAAGGTGAGAACCTCCTGGGCGCCGGTCCCCCAGCTTTTTGGGGAGTCAATCCAAAAGGGGCAAACAAATCCTGAGAGGAGGACATCTGAGGAACTCATCAGATCCTGACATATCCTGACCAAACACTGACAAAATCCAACCCCTTGGGCCCTTGGATGTCCATGTTCATTGACCTCGGTCCATGGTTCCTATTCTCCGATCTGGTCCATTTTCGGATGTTCGGATGGTGAACTTGTCTCACATGGTAACTGATTGTGAGGAACGTTCCCCCGATGGATGCCCTGAACCATACACCCTGGAAACACCATGGACATACTGTCGATCTGGTGCAGCCGTGGCACGTACCATATCCAGAACCTGCGGGAGAAGGCGAGCTAGCCGGTTGGGCAGCTGGCTGTGAGGAAACAAAGGTTCCGGAGCAAACTCCATGAAAGCTAGCTGGTCCCTGATTCAACATCAAGTCCATTGAACAACCACCACTATCTCCAACTTAGATATACTGTGATAATCTGTGATATACTGTAGATATCTATAGATCACGAAGCTGATGGGTGTGATTTGCTCCAACTTATATGTGAACCCAGTTGCTCCTGCTGTCCACCATGGTGTTTTTAAGAGCGTTTTTCACCCAGCAACCACGGTTTTACTGAGGATTTTCCACAACACCAAAGGTCTAGCTTTCTTTTCATGGTCGAACGGAAGGCTAGCGGCTAGAAACGCCCAAACGATTTTTACTGCGCTGCCAATAGGAACGCTAGGCCCCTCGGTGAAAGCCCCACTGCTGGAGGTCCACTCATGAAGTCAACTCCCCAAAAGCACCAGCGAACGGGACCATGCCAATTGGGCGACCAGCATGGATTAACTGATTGACTCTATTAGGCGCGACGCGCAAGCAGGATAGCTGGATATGGCTGGAACCAAACCCGTCCCCCTCCGCGCACTCTCGTTGACGTCAAGGAGCAACACCATTCCAGTGACGTCCATCAAGCCACCGTAGGCTTCTCGAAATCTCTTGGCCGTCAGTAGTCGCTTCAGGGCAGCGAGCATCGAGATAATGTAGAAATTGAAGCGTCCAATCACCTCAAGTTCTTGATCTATACAGAGGACTATTCCAGCCCAACAAGTTCGCCTATCCCATATTTATTTACCACTTGTTTAGTCCCGGTGAACTGGGTCTCTCAACCTCTCTTCGATTCCGCATGTTGTGACGTGACCGCACAAAAATCGGCCATGGCGAGATCATGTCCGCAATGTCCGCAATGTCCGCTACCCCACCAAACCACGAGAGGTTGACATTCCTAGATACCTTCTCAGGAGGTACTTGGGCCCTCCAAGCCTACATAAATAGTCTCCAATCACCTTCTGAGAAGGTACGACTGGATCCCTAGCGATCCCTCATCAAGGGATCTGGTCAGAAATGAATAGAAATGATACTCTCTCACGAAGTGAAACGAAGTGCCGACACCGACCGAAGATGAAGTGTGGACTCTCCCAGAAAAACGAACATGGAAAACGGAAACTTCCATGAGACAATTTCAGAGAGTGTCATCGGTTGTGAGGCACACATTTTGCTGGCACTCCCTCTCTATAACGCAGATCCCACTCACGCTGGATGAAACATTCACGCCCCATGCACGCTTAGCAGCGAAGAGGCAAACATGTTGGAGTGAACCCCAGGAGTTTGTTGGCCATTGGATTCTACACTCTGCCAAGTTCTCTACATCCTGGCCACCAAAATGGATAGACCAATAGATAATGAAGCCTCTAGCAAGAACAATGTGTTGGATGCCTCTTTGGACTCATCAGTATCATTCTCTATTAATTGGAGAACCATCCAAAACAAAAACCTATCCCCTCCATATCCCTCTCTTCTTTCGTTGCCAAACATGTTCATATCGCTGTTTAAGTCCAATCCCCTTCAACGAACCATGCGAGCCAAACCATGCTTCGCATGCATGCTCGGCCTCTCGTCTTGATCTAAAACGGACCAGGTGCCACTGAAAGCGGCAAGAAGGTGTAGTGCTGAACCTTCGGCAGCTGAAGTCCACCCCGGCGGATCGTGAAACGGACGACGTGTTGGACTCCCCCGACTCGGTCTCAGTGGATGGGTGAGTACAGCTTGGGACTCGACATCACGGGAAGAACGACCGTTCACACCATGTTCACGTTCCCCAAAAAAGGGGAGAAAAAGCAACACGTTCATATACGTTCTGTCTCTTGTCACAAAAAGCGGTGGTCGCGAAAGGCGGTTTATCCCACTCAGCTCTCCATCTCTCCTTCACTTCTTCTCACCTCCGTTCTCCATGTCACCTCCCTTCTTCCGTGCCAGGGGGCCGAGACCAAGGTTCGTGTCAGGAAGTCGACTTTCGTGCCCGGTACGTCCAACTCCTGCCGCACTGCCGGACACGGACGAAGGACCAAGGACCCCCACACCCACCGGAGCTCGGCCCCTTTTTGGGGCTCCGGAGGACGACTCGTTAGGTGAGTCCGCGGGAAGGCCCACAGGAAGGCCCACGGTTGGTATGGAAAGCTGGGCGTTCGGAGTTCCAACGGACCGGGAGATGGAGCTTGGATGGGGTGAAAGGAGGAAAAAAGGAGAGAAAAAGGTAAAGGCTTTGGAGCAAAGATCTTCAAGGGAGTCTCCGTGCTCAAAGCTTTATTCTATATATTCTGACTCCAGAATTCTTTGCTAGAGTGCATGCTTCTCTAAGAACGAGCACACAATTGCACACAGCAGTTCACCTTGTATTTTGCAGAAATCGCGGTTCTGTATTTTACTGTTCTGATCTGTTCTGAAGCAAAGCCGCCCCCTACCAAAGCAACAAAGAACATTGAGCTCCACAATCCTACATTGGTCAGGCTTTACACTCCCAAGTTGTGAGTGTCCAGTGGAGATTCGCAGTGGATGCATACGTGAACAACTCGAACAAAATGGGGATGGCTGAAAGAATGGCAGACTCAAAAGCAGTCTAATGTAGACTCTTGATGAATAAAGACTCTTGATTAATAGAACATAATAAAACCATATAAAAACCCACCTCATATGGGAATTCACATACTTTCTACATGCATCGCCATCGCTCTTTTACATCCTTTCGCCCAGCGTTTTGGCAAGCATTGCACCCTGTATCTGAAGGCCATTCAGCGAGAACCAATGAGGAGTAAGGTCAGAGGTACAGTAGATGCAATATCATTGACGACAAATATGGGATCATATTATAAATTATGGGCATGTATTTTCAATAGGGAGACCCTCCCAAAGACCACCTATAGAAGAAGGACAAGCAATGACAAGTCTGCCCATTGAGTGGGGGGGGGTTCCCTAAGATACACATCCCTGCACGACAAGCAAACCTCCAGAAACTAACTACGAGTATCAGTACAAGTACAAACATAAGAATATTGCCCGCCGCGAGTCCCACGTGGCGCCTTCTTGGAGATCAGCCAGATCGGCAAGTAGTTAAACTGTGGGTCTTCCTGGGGTCGTGGGGGGCGGGTGTTGTGCATCCCTGCGTTCTCCAAAGGTCTGGAAGATGAGAGAGCCTTCATCATGGGGCATCCGGTGGCATCCTGTGGCATGATTTTCACCGATCTGCACAGTCTTAACTACACGGTCGTGGTCAGTTCGTGTAGGCGGAGAGTTCGTGCAGGCGTCCTGAGGCCGCAAAGTGATTGCGTGGTGCAATGAATGCTCCTGCAGGCGTGACGAGCAACATCAGCAAATCCTTACAAATTTCAAGAAGATTGATTTTCAAGAAGATATAAGAAGATGAAGCGAATACTGCAGGTATGAGCGGATTCACCAACGATTTGCTCCACATTTGATATATTTGTTGGATGTTCCAACTATTGGAACATTCTTGAGGGTGGATTCCTAAATTAGAGACCATCCGGCAAACATTCAGTCTGCTATCGGCGACACTTCCGGGATTGCCGTTTTGGAACCTGGGTTTACCCTTTGAATTCACTGCCTTTGGACCAGAGCCAGTGAAAATCTAAGGTATCCATGACAGGATTTGCCCTTTGTCCATCGAAAAAGCGACTTTTGATCAATGCTTGTAAACCTCCTGGATACGAAGAAGTTTGGGCTTGGATCGAGCAATCCATATGAACACCTACCTTTTCAGGATGTAAGGATGTTCAACCAAGCATGTTCAAACCTTATTTGAATGGCAGGGACATCACAGGGATCACGTATCTTAATCTCGCATCTGTGGGATGGGTTGAGGATGGTTGAGGTGGGGGACAGGGTGGGGTGGGGTGGCTCTTAATTAACTGACAACCTTCCCTTCGACTAACCCTCTCCTGTAGGATCTTATGGGTGTTTTCAGGGGGAGACCGGGAAGACCCCCGAAAAACCACCATCGAAGAAGGAACATAGACCATACGCGATCCATGGCAAACTCCTGATTTACCCACAGAGATCGGGGTTCCCTGCACTCCTTGATCCCGGCACTCAAGAGTCTCATACATCATCGTCATCGTCATCGTCATCGTCATCGTCATCGTCATCGTCATCATCATCGTCATCATCGTCATCGTCATCATCATCATCATCATCGTCATCATCATCATCATCATCATCATCATCATCATCATCATCATCATCATCATCATCAT